TCTCTCCTATTTATTCCTCCATCTCTCTGCCCCTGTTTTTTTGCTCAATCTCTCCTCTGTCTGCACCACTGTCCTGTTCCCCGTGTCTCTTGTTCGCAGTGACTTTCTGACTCCCCATCTCACATCTCTATGTCCCCCTGCTTTTCCATTTTCTCCCTCTCTCCCATTGCATTTGGGCACTGAGCCTTGTAACCAACTCATTGCTGGGATTTCTTATGTGCATCAGTGACTACTTTTCCTGCCTCCCCTGAGCCCCTGGCTGTGTTGTGCAGAGCTGGTGGCTGTGGGCAGGTGCAGAGGAACAGGTGATGTTTTTTGGGCTTTGGCCCCTGATCCTGATGGGCTCCAGCTGGGGCCAGAGCCGGGGCAGCCCCAGGTGTGGCCAGTGAGGCTGAGGCTGGGCAGGTCCTGCTGTGTGAAGGGGCTCTGGCTCTAAAGGGGGCTGCCCAAGGAAACCTGAAGGGGTTTTATAGGGAGGTGCTTCCAGTGAGGAAGGATCTCTCCCAGCAGCAGATCACCAGTACGTGGTGCTGGGAGCTTGGTGCTTTCCTTGGTTGTGTCTGTGAGCCAGCGTGTATCCAGGGAGCCTTGCAGCTGAGGAGCATTGAGGTGACTGCTGTGTGCTGCTGCTGGTGGTGCTGGTGATGAGGAAGGGGCAGGGGCAGAGCAGCATCGGGGTGATGGAGGTCTCCCGCTGGCACCAGGAGCTGTGGTGAGTTGTGTTCTCTCGTGGGTCTTGGTCCATCTCTACTGCCCTGCCCTAGACCTGTGCCTTCCTCCCTGCCTGTCCCTGCTTGTGCCTCCCTCTCTGCTGGCCCATCTACCTGTCCAGCTCCTGGAAACTCATCACTCTTCTGCCAACTGTGCCCTGTGCCACTTCACCTATTATTTTTTTCCTCTATTTCCCTCTCTGTGGCTTCCTCTCCTTGTTTTTAATTCCTCCCTGTACCCCGTCTCTTTAAATTTTCTTTCTGTCTCCATTTATCTAGTTCTCTGTCCCCACTTTAGTCTTTTTCCCCATGTTTCCTGTACCAAATGTCTAAATTCTGTTTCTGTGCATGCTGGTTTTGGCTGGGATAAAGTCCAGTTTTCCTCACCATAGCTGCTATGGGGCTATGCTCCGGATTTGCACTGAAAACAGCACCGGTAACCCTGGGACGTGTTGGTTATTGCTGAGCGCTTGCACAGCACAAGGGCTGTTCTGCCCCTCACCCTGCCCTGCCCTTGCGCAGCCTGGGGGGCACAGGGAGCTGGGGGGGGTGCACGGCTGGGACAGCTGCCCCCCCTGACCCATGGGATACCCCAGACCGTGTGGGTCCTGCCCAACAACCAGACTGGGGGAGATGCTGCTTGGGACGGGCTGGGCATCAGGTGGTTGGTGATGAGCAGTTGTTTTCATTTGCATCACATGTTTTTCTAGGCTTTGATTTCTCTCTCTCTCTGTTTTCCTTCCCCTTCTACCCTGACATTTATAAAAACCCCCAACTTTTTACATATTAAATTGGTTTTCTATCAACCTATGAGTTTCCTTCTCACATTTACCCCTCTGATCTCCCCCATCCCCCTGTGGGGGAGCGAGCAGCCGGATGGTGCTGAGTTACCAGCCAGGGCCAAGCCCCCATGCTGTGTCTGCTCCCATGCAGCTCCCTGCTGCTCTATTTTTCCTGTATCTCCTGCACCCATCACTGCGTAAGTTTTCTTTCTGTGTCCACTTTTACCCAGACCACTGTCATTATTTATTATTTCTCCTCTCTCTCCTGTGCCCCATTGCTTCCAAGCTTCCTTTCTATTCCTCAGTCACTGTATTTTAATTCTTTGTCTGTCCTATACCAAATAACTTTAAAACATTTCCTTCCATGTCCACTTTTATCAAGCTGTGTCTCACTGCTTTAATTCTTTCCTGCATGTTGTGTGCCCTGTTGCTCTTTCCATTCTCTTTCTATGACTACTTCAACCTTTCTGCTGTCTTTATTTCCTTAACCACCACTGCTTTTACAACTTTCAGTCTACTTTTATCCCATTTGTGGTCTTTATCTGCCTACCTTTATTTTTTTATCCATTTCTTGCCTTTCCATAGCGCTGTGGCTTTTCCAGGTTTTCTCTACATCTGTTTCAGTTTGCTGTGCTTATTTTTGAACACTCATTTCCCTAATCCCCCTCACTTAAAATGTTCTGCTATGCCTTTCATTCCCTTATTAAAAACTCTTTCTTCTGTGCACTTTCTAGATTTTCTTCCCTTGTTACTGTTTTACTTTGCCATTGCTACTTTTTAGTTCCATTTCCTTAATCCTCAGCTTTTAAAATTCTGTATTGTTATCCCATTTGCTCTTTATATCAGCTTTTAATTTTTATCCTTCCTCAGTGTCCTCACGTTACGTTTTCTTTCTGTGCCTATTTCCATTCTCTTTGCTTTGCTCTCTTAAACACACTCTTCTCTTTCCTCAGTGCCCTCAGCTTTAACATTTTCTTTCTGCATCTGTTTTATTTATCCCTGGAAAAAACCAGCACACGTTGTCCCTTTTCAGTTTTTCTGTGTATTTCCCTAACACCCATCACTTTTTAAATTTCATACATCTGTTCTGCTTGCTGTTTTTATTTCTCTTAAATATTTGTCTTACTGCCCTTCCTTTAAAAACTTGCTTCCTCTATCTTTTTTTAGTTTGCTGTCCCTATTAGTTAAACTTTTCCCTTTATTTTCCCAAGCCCTCTCACTTTCATAGCATCACAGCCTGGTTTGGGTTGAAGGGACCCCAAAGCTCCCCCAGTCCAACCCCCATGGGCAAGGACACCTCCACCAGCCCAGGCTGCTCCAGGCCCCATCCAACCTGGCCTTGGGCACTGCCAGGGAGGGGGCACCCACAGCTTCTGTGGGCAACCTGGGCCAGTGTCACCACCTTCCTATAACATTTCATGTAAATCCACCCTCTTCCAGCTTGAAACTATTACCCCTCATAACGAATCCCACTTCCACTTGCAGAGATCAACACCACATGAGCAAACACAATGCAAAAGGGATTTTTGATTTAATGTTTTGCCATGGGAAAAGGCAAATCCTGCACATCTATGCCCATGTCTGGACCCTGTTCCCCCTGCGTGGCACAGGGCTGGCTCCCATGTCCCAGCCCTCCTCCTGGGATGCTCTGGCTCT